CCAGCACTTCAATTTTACAAAATTATCGTTATCGTTAACATGGTCGAAGACATTAATCAAAAGTTCTACTGTGCCTGGAAATACACGCACATTAATCTACCGTTTGTTTTAAATTGAAAAAATCAGCTTAACGCTTCAAATGATTCGAATTATTGTTGTCACACCAATTAATATTAAATTCACCAGTTCATGTGAGTTTTTTTCCGTGCCCTCGACTTCACCCCGCGATCTTCCGTGCCGTAAAGTCACTGATCCCGTGTTCCTTAGCCATTTTCCTTATTGAACGCACTGGATTCACCCGAATCTTCCTTTTGATAGCAGCGATAACCCTCGGAACCCGAGATGACCTCGGACGACCTATGGCCACCTTTGCGGCTAGTTGTCTTTTCTTTTCTCGGTCTAAAACCCATTTGACGGACCACCGGGACACTCCCACGGCGATTGAAATGTCTTTTTGCGACATTTGCGCGTGAGACAAATCCCGAATACGCTGAAACTTCGTCATGGTGCAACTGTCAAACTAAGTAAATCATTCTCTTTTATACACAGCCTACTACGGTATGAGCTATGGGTTACGTGCATGCAAAGAAAACCAAGGCATTGTATGCACAGGTGAAAAGGGAACTTAATTTGTACGATGGTGTAAACATTATCACGCATACGGTAATGGAGGTATCTTTACCATTCCTGATATTACTGATTTTGTTTGTTTTTGGATCCAACTGAGTTTTCAAAAACTTACGAGTATCTTCGCAAGGTTGTTTTGACTCTTTCGGCTCAATCACAATGACCGGACGAGTCTTACGATTATCTGGTTTGTTATTTTTACTATTACTGTTACTAATAGTTTTACTTTGACTAGCACGACTATGTCTTTTTACAACATCCGAAAAATTCGCATTTTCTTGAAAAACAACATCATCATCATTATCACTATTTTGTATTTTACGTTTTTTGCGTCTGGTATTTTGGTCCGATTTCGACTGAATCGTCCTAGATGAACTGCGCTGATCATTCATTACAGCTTGAACTTTTCATATTATACAATTTCTCACAAATTAAATTTTCAAGACCATTCACATTTAGTCTAATGTCTGCCATCCCGCTTTTAACCGCGATGTCCACCTGAGCAGCAATGTGATCTCGCATGCCAGTGATCGAGTCCGAGAGTTGAAAAACCTTCTTCATCTCTTCCTCTATCCTTTTGACGCGCGAGATCAGATCATTCTGCTCGCCACAACTCTGATCGACAACTATCACACTTGAACAGAACATTTGCATTATCTGCTATAAGCCTCGCCGCAGACTTAGTGAATGCCGCACAAGCAGAATGGAACGTTCCATTGCACGGACCTACACATATAACTGGGAGCCCACTCATAGCAATAAATGCTCATAGACATTACACACATCCATTTTATCAAATTAAACGCTTACACTGTTAGCAGCAGACATATACAGGGGAGGAGAAAACAAAAATAAAATTTTACCGCCACAGCTATACAGAATCAATAGCGCGTCCGGGGAAAAATACAAAATTAAACAAAAACGAGTTGCTACACCGTTCGAAAAATTCATGTAAATTTCTGCGAGATATAGCGCACATAAAATTAACGCTAGAGTTGGCATAAATTTACGCAATTTTCGTGTAACTTTAAGCGCAATATCGCATAAATTAGCAATATTGTATACAAGCTTGTAAACGATTTCGCTGTTTATGCCAAGTATAGCTCAAAATTAAACGAAGGGAGATTTTACGCGATAGTTAAAATTCAGATTTTTTTCTGAGTAGGCAACCTTTCCTCTACTTATCCTGTTAAAAAAAACACAACGGGCACGCGTTGCAAAAATCCTTTCACGGCACACGGCACTATTTCACACGAAATTATGAATTAATTTTCACAGCACAACTAAACAAAAACACTGCTTTGTTCGCCATACTACTACTTTACCCACACACCAGAAAAATCTGAATTTTACTGGCGATGTAAACATCCATGCATGCAAACATTCATACATGTAAACTTCCTTTTCACGTAAACTAGCATCTTGCAAGAAATGTTGCAAACAAAAGTGGGCAGTTGCATACAATATATGGAATATTGCATGACATGTCTCATAAATTTTTTAGATCTATAATCTAAACTTATATGATATATGACGCTCCATTTATGTGCATCATAGTAACGGAAATTTACACTTCTTTTTTAGCTGTGCATTGAGTGTTGATAAACTACAATACAAATGGTGACCGAGCGTGAACTCGAGGACTATTATTTTTTTTCCTTGATTTGTTTTCCGTCGATCTTGTTTTCCGTGCTGAGCACCAATGCTACCGACGGCAGGAAGGCAGCTCCCACACCTGGACCCTACCTATCGACCCATCAACTCATGAACCGGGGACCAACGGCTTTACTTCCCTTCCGAAGGAAGGCGTGATCAGAGATGTTATGCCTCAGAACATCCCGGCGGCGCCGACTGGGATTGATCCCAGGCCTGCTGGGGTGAGAGGTAATCACGCTTACCACTACATCACCGGTGCCGCTTAACTTATAAAAATTTATATAGAAAATCCAATGTTGGCCAATGTCCACCGAAAATAAATAAAACTACTTTATGACTTAAAGTGCAATGAATTAGCGTTAGCTTCGGGATCATTTTAGTGTTAGAATTATGTTAGTTTTGATCCAGCAGGGCTGATCGACCCCTCCACCATTACTTGCAGGCAGTGGTTGTTAGATCATGCGACACTGTAACTATTACTATGTTAGATGTATGATTCGTCAAGTTTATACAGCTCAATGTTTCAATTGAGGTACACAATTTATCTTATAATTACAAAAGCAAACTTAAAATAACAATTATATGCAAATGCAAAATAAAACTTGACAAATCATCGTCAATCCCCTTATTCTTGGGCAGGGCCTGACGATGAGAAACTGATTTTAATCAGTACATTCTCTCACTATAAACCTGTCAATTCTAGCCTATCTGAACCATTTAATAAATGGAAACCGTAACATGGGTTACGCTCCCCCTAAGCGGGCCCTCCCGAGAATTTCGAAGTTCTACGTCAATAATGCGGTCATGCTTGGGACACAACGCTTAACTTTTTTTTTTCATCAAAACGCTCCTTAAAATATTTGCATTAATGAACCAAACATCCTGTAATTAAGATAAAAAAAAAAAACTGTACTAGTCTACACCGGTTGACGAAACTAATAAATCTGAAATCTGAAATCATGGGAATCGGAAGAAAATAAGTCCTTTCAGCTGTTTGGAAATACTCAGCATCTCTATGATAAAGCGTTATAGAAAAGATAAAGTTATACCTTCTAAAAATCAAAACAATAGAATGTCACATTATTTACCATCCCAGAGAGATAAAAACAAACACGATTGGTTGGTGCTGGCATGGTTGGCGAATTTATGCTCGTTTTATGATAATGCGTGATGCAATAAACCGTTATTTATGGTGAACTCCGCGGTTGGACCAGTGCAGATTCAAATGTTCTTTATATTACAGATTGCCGCATGGAGGTAAGTTACTGTCTGTCTGTCGTTGATGGCAGTTCCGTGCACGTGTTTTTATGATACAAATTTTTACGGGCTTACCTGCGACGTTCCGATATAGGCACCAAGATGGCTTGGAGTGCGTGTTGTGGATTATGCTTTTTATTTTCCACTTCCTTGCCGTGTGACTGAGAGGGATTTTAATTAAATTTCAATCGCTTGGACAAGTTGCAATCAGCAGCACGCTTTCTCAAGTTTTAATTATCAACAACCCGAGAGAGAGAGAGAGAGAGTATGGCTCATGCCATGTGTAAACACCATTGTTTCGTGATCGGACACAAGAATACTATAGCAACAGTGGAATCCTGAGTGACATTAGTCTAGTGGCTCCCGGGTGGATGCTTAAGTTGCACCTGATTTGAAAACATCTCGACTTTCAACATCCGACACTAGCATCAGTACTTCTCGTACTGACGGTTGAAATGGCGGTGAAACTGACGTGAATCCCGACGACCACCCAGCACAGGCCAATAATAGAAACTTAATCCCTGTTCCATTGGCTTGAATTACATTTTCATTTTGCTGTTATTGAATTCAATGGCCCTGAATATCTGGAACGGAACGATAGTCTTCCCGAAGGACTTGCTCTCTCACCAACCTACGAGTGCAGCAGTGCTTTCTCATTATGAAAAGTACACAAAGTGCTAGTCGTCGACGCCATTGAAGCGTAAAGAACGAACGGGAACGGGAATGCTTTTCCATATCCCAACAATTATTGCGAAAATTGTACGACCAGCCCTCTCGTATCTCTCCGCACATGTTGATGCTAGCTGCTGTCGGCAGCTGGTGTTGATTATTATAATACTATAATCAAAACTCGCCCTCCCGGTTTGCACTCGGTCCGAGCTTCTCACCTGAAGGGATGAGGGTAGATGGGTGAAGTGCGGAAAAATGAGCGGTTCACCACGAAAACCTGAACTTTCATCGAATCTGCACTAAAAACATACGTAGGGTAGGATGGTCTAAAACGCATCCCTGGGGTAAAATGGTTCCGTGCGGTTTTTCATAGCTTTCCGATTGTCAATTCATGAGTTTAACGAGTAGCATTGCTAGGTCAATTCCAGAATTATTATTTTCGACCCAGGGGAGCATTATGGACTACCCTCCCTTACCTACAATACGATGACCACGAGAGTGAAACAAATGAAGCAAAGTTGCTCCGCTCCGGCAAGACCAGGTTTGCTATAATTGAATGCAAACATTATTTCTGATGAAAGTGGTTCGGAGCATGGTTGGTTTCAGGGAAAACTCGAGCGATGAGACATGAATTGTCGAATAAACTTAAGTCGACGATTAAATATTTGACAATCTCCAGTGCTCTACGACATCGGATTGACAGAATGCCCGCATGACATATATTTCGCAAGCATTGATTGACTCTATCAAGTTCCAATTATTATCGAATCCTTTCTTTGTTTATCTTGCAGATCCTCTTTTCCGCAGTGCCGTCAGAAATTGGCCAGAAACCACATCGCACCACTTTTGAATTGATTCAGCGGAATACCACTTATTCCACATGACCCCGTCAATTACCGTCACTAATTGAGCGCTGACCAAGCCTCAATTTGAGCTGGACGACCATCGACTGGTATCAGGCACACAGTCACTCACACACACGCACACGTCCATGCTGAAACAAAATTACTCCATCAATTAAAAGCACTCTAGCATCGCAAGAGGGCGAAAACGATCGACAAACCTTTCAGCTTGCTGGAACGCCTGGAAAAACAACCAACCCCCCACCACAGCCCACACGGGTTGCAGCAATCAGCAGATTTTCCACCTGCCCGAGTGCATACGTAGTAGTGGAATAATTACTCCCCAGCCACAAGCAGGAAGTAAGAGCACACAAGTCGCTGCCCTCTAGCGGAAGCGAAAAGTAATATTGAATTTTGAATGGTGATTGGTGCATCCGACCGCCCGCTGGACGAAGGACGGAGGTGAACTTTTGGGCAATCGGTGTCCGACCCGTGAAGTGAATGGGAAACCAACGAAGGCAGCTGAAATCGGCAATAATTGATTGCGAATATCGGTAGAGCTTAGCTGACACCGGCAGCATCAGTTAGTGTATCGATCTAATTAGTGAGTGTGGTGCGTTGGACAGGTTTCGATGGAAACAAGGTGAGTGGGATTTCACTGTAGATGGAAATTATCCGCAATTAAATGGTTTGTACAATTTAATTGCAAATCATGGGTGCAGTTGTATGAAGGTTTCTGGATCTTCAGGAAATCAGAGAACATTATATCTATGTCTCTCTAGCACGACTGAGCCGCTCTATAACGAGGGATATAAAATTTTCGAAATATGCTCACGTCTCAAGTCTCAAAATAAATGTTTTGCCATAATATCTTGGATATTCTTGGGAAAGTTTGAGTACATTCAGATTAAATTTAAAATATTTTAAAATTAACGATTGATGCACTTAAAATTTCATGACAACCCGAAATCTTGAAAATTATTAACAATTCTGGTGCTGTTAATTTCTATGTACTATGGTCCGCTGGTAATCTGACCGATTTTAATCTGAACACGTTTTAATTTAAGCCCCGTTTCTCTAAACAAACATTGCTCAATCATTACTTACCAGATCTTCTTCTTCTTCATTGCATTTTAAGTGTATTGCTAATCGCATATTAACTTAATGCGTGTCCATAACTTAGTGTTCTAGATGCACTTCCACAGTTATCCATTGAGAGCTATTGATGCCCGCACTATTTTTGCATTAGTATAATTGTGTTATGATCATGATGTTGATGGTCCCACCTCTTACCTCTACAAAGGTTTGCAAAATTACATTTTGTTTTATCAAATGTTAAATTCAGTCCTCTATATCCGTAATACGCGCGCGAGGCTCAAACCTTTGTAGACTACTTTTTTGTAATTAATCTTCTACTATTAAATCAAATATTAAAAATCCATCATCACCATCGTGGTGAACAAAAATAGTTTTTGCAGTGCTACAAAAATTATTAAAAAGTCATTATGACAGCTATCCAAACAAAATAATCCGTTATAGATAACGTCGTCAACATACATCATTTATCAAATCATAAAAAAAATCACTGGATAACTGTTCAAACGACAGTTTTAACGTGTGAAATGCAGTGTCTTTTAAATTCTGTAAGTGTTGTTGAACTTTTGATATGTATAGGCATCGAATTGAAAACATTTATTCCTTTAAAATATAATGAATTTTGTGTAGCACAAGTCAAGAAATATGGTGTTCTCATTTCATCCGCGTTTCTAGTAATTATCTATGAAAATCACTTACCCTTTTAATTCGATCACACAAATATCGAGGCAGCAAACCGTTAACTACTTTAAAAATGAACACCATACTCAAATATAAAATGTTTTGCTTCACCGACAACCATTGTAAGGCGTCTAGCATCAAAGTTGAAGAAGTGAATCTATTACATCTCAAAATCAAACGCTTTATTTTATTCTGCAACGCTGTAATCTCGATTTTGTGTTGCATTGGTCAGAAATAAAATGGAAGGGCAAAAGTCTAGATGAGGAGAGATGATTAATTTGTATAGCTGTATTTTACTGGCAATAGTTAAATCGTATTTCAGTCGACATAGAATTCCATACTTCTTGGCAATTTTCTTGTTACTTTGTCATCAATAATCACGCCAAGATATTTAATCTCCCGAACGCGATCAATAGTCTCATCATCAATCACAGCAGAGACGTTCTCATAAATTAAGTTTTACTTGTATTCAATTGTAACTGCTTACACTTCAACTATCTACTTAGATACTGCAAATCTTCATTCAAGTGTGAGATGGCAACTTCTTAATCCTTAGCTGCAATGAATAACACAGTATCATTTGCAAAAAAGATGAATGTTACAAAACCGTAAAACACGTCGCAAGTCAATAATCTACATAATAAATAAGAGGGGACCTAATACACTTCCCTGGGGCACTCCGAGGTTATTCCTCATGGGACTGGAAACAGAATCATTAAAAACAGTCCGTTGAGTTCTGTCAGACAAATAGCTTTCAAACCATTTATAAACACTACTTGTAATTCCAAAGCGCTTGATTGAACTTAACAATAAGGGCCTAGAAATTGTTTCAAAAGCGCGTTTAAAATCGAAAATAACAGAAAAAGTCGTTATTTTTCCAATTCGCTAAAACTAAACTCAACGCGGTTTCACAAGAACCTTCCCCTCCCGATTGTTCTGGTATCAACAAACCATTACTATTTAAATACTCCAACAGCTGCCCTTTAACAACAAGTTCTAAAATTTTCTCTAATGCGTGCAACATGTTGATGGGACGAAACTCTTCAGTTTTAATCGTTCCAGCAACTTTTTGAATAGGAACAACTAAGGATTCCTTCCAAATCTGTGGCACATTTCAAGTTTGCAATGATTCATTAATAACCTTGGTCCAGCAAGATGTGGCCAATGAGATGAAAGCAATCTTGAATAACTCTTTCATTAACATTATATACTCCAGCCGATTTTCCTAATGAAAAACAAATAACTCTAAGTTCATCTAATGTAATTGGGTGTAAAGCTTCAAATCTACAACTACTATTAACTGGCTGTTTTACTTCGTCAGGTTCATCGACCAATTCAATGGATTGATTAATCAATAAAACACTGTCGACAAAATAATCATTAAACTTGGATGCAATACCTTGTTCTGACTGTTCTAATGTGCCATTAAAAGTTATGGACCGTGGTTTGCTATTATACTAGGTTTTAATAAAGATTTCAAAATTATCCATGCTGTTGTTTTGACGCTGATCAATCTTCCTTTGAACAAATTCACAACGAGTTTTCTTTATCGATTGTGAATATTTATTATCTGTAGATTCATATAAGTTACCGGCCGTGAATGGAATATCCACGCTCCTCTCAAAAAGATTCGAAACCGCTTGCTTCGTACCTGAAAATTCCTAGACCGGACCAGGAATCGTACCTTGCTACCTTCAGCATGATTTTGATTTATAGCTGCGAAGTGGGACGATGCAAAGCGGAACGCAGAATCAAAACAGAAAGGCAAATTAGGTTACCATAAACACGCTTTTCAGATGCTCATATGGTTACTAGAAGTTCAAATTAAAATTAAAGCCTTAGGAAATATACATGGTAAACAATTTCAAGTGAATTTAGTAAACAATCTAAAAAACTTAAATTACAAAAACTGACCCTTTAAATATTTTTTTAATAAGCCGGCTACAACTTCCCAAAAAGTCAGAAAGCAATTGCAGGGGAATCCAGCAGAACCCCTTGGAAGAAGCTTTCAGAATACTTAAGGATCCTGTGCACCACCAGCGGTGCAAAGGGCCAACGTGAAAGACTTTTCATCCTGGGCGGCTGCTCGCTTTTGCCTTGAGGTCAGATTCCTATCGACTTGCTTAATTTCCTTATTGAGACTCCGCCGCCATGAGCCCCTGGGTCTGCCTCTGCTGCGATGTCCTGCCGGATTCCAATCCAGCGCTTGCTTGCAGATTTCGTTTCCGCCCCGTCGAAGTGTGTGGCCGACCCACCTCCACTTTCGCTCTCGAATTTCTGTTGCTATCGGCTTCTGATGACATCGACGATGGAGCTTGGCATTCGAGATCCAGTTGTGAGGCCACCAGGCACGAATTATATACCGCAGGCATCGGTTGATGAAGACCTGCAGCTTTTGAGTGTTCTCCGCTGATACACACCACGTCTCGCTGGCGTATAACAACACAGATTTCACGTTCGAGTTGAAAATTCGGATTTTGGTGCGTTGACTTATCTGGTTGGATCTCCATACGTTTCGTTAACTCGCAAAGGCAGCCCTAGCCTTCTTGATTCGTGCACCTATGTCGCTCTTGGCCTCGCCGTCCGACGCTATTTAGCTGCCAAGATATTGGAAACTTTCGACCTTCTCCACTGCTTGCCCCGCTACCGTAAAGTTGGAAGGGTTGCCCGTGTTGATATCCAACAATTTGGTCTTGTTGACGTTGATGGTGAGACCCGCCACAGAGGAGCGTTCGGCTAGGTCATTGAGCTTACTCTGCATATCAGAGTGCCGTTGTGCTAGTAGAGCAACATCATCAGCCAAATCGAAGTCGTTGGTGATAGGCTGCCAAAGCAGCCCACGGTTCGGTACACGGTCAATTGCACCTACCATGATCTCGTCGATTACGATAAGAAACAGTAGCGGTGATAGTATACATCCTTGTCTCACACCAGCAACTACCCGGATAGGGTCGGACAAGGCTCCGTTATGCAGAACTCTGCACGTGAAAGCCTCATACTGCGCTTCGATGAGGTTGACGATTTTATCCGGGACTCTCTTGCGTCCCCACAAATTCTCGTGATTGAGACGGTCGAAAGCTTTTTCGTAGTCAATGAATACCAAATAAAGGGACTATTGGAATTCATTGACCTGCTCCAGGATGATGCGGAGCGTGACAATATGGTCCATACAAGATCTTCCGGCACGGAGTCCTGCCTGCTGCCGTCGGAGAGTCACGTCGATCTTCTCCTGTATCCGATTCAGGATAACTTTGCACAGAACTTTGAGAACAATACACGAATAATTCAGAATACGTTGGAACAAACCTTCGGACAGTTCTGGAGAAACTTTTGGAGGAAATCGAAAACTTCTGGAGAAACCTCCTGAGACAATTTGATGGAATCTTCTATTAAAATTCGGAAAAATCTTCCAGCGTAAGTCAAACAAATGTTGGACAGTTTGAAGAACCTTCTTTAAGGAGCCAGAAGAAGCTTCTAGAAGGATGCCATGGCAGGAGACAGGCAGTGCGTTTAAATTTATTTCGCTGTTTGTGAAAAATTCAATTAATTTCAATTGAATTTTTCACTGTCATGTTAAAACACAGATTCATGTAGCGACACTGCTGGTGTAGTGGTAAGCATGCTTACCTTTCACCCCAGTAGGCCTGGGTTCAATCCCAGTCGGCGCCGCCGGGATGTTCTGAAGCATAACATCTCTGATCACGCCTTTCTTCGGAAGTAAAGACGTTGGTCCCCGATTCATGAGTTGATGGGTCGATAGGTAAGGTCTAGGTGTGGGAGCTGCCTCCCTGGCGTCGATAGCATTGGTGCTCAGCACGGAAAACAAGATCGATGAAAAACAAATCAAGGAAAAAAAATAAGATGAAA